CAGAGGAGAATTGACCAAGGTGTTTATGTCAGCGGGTCCTTCAGAGTATTCTTAGCTTGTTTGTGTGTAATTGAAGTTGTGGTGTGCGGTGTAGCACCACACAAAACTGTAATATTTCTCCCGTTTTATGATGTTGTTTTGACATTCCCAAAGCTCGGCTGCTGGCCTGGCACAGCAACCTGACGTTGGATTTACTGCGCTGCTGAGTACATGCTACATTACGGGCCTTACTGTATGTGTAGTCATGTAGCAATGAATAAATCGTGTCCACGTCTCCATTTAACTGCTGTAAAAAGAGTTTTTGAATCATTATTGTAGCTGACACCATGTGTAGAATACATCTGCATGAATTTGTGACAGCATTTCATTGCATTTACCAGCTCATCCTTTAATTGGGTATATATATGTGAATTTACATATCTGAAGCTGCTGCCATCAGACTTAAAGGTACATATGTTACACTCACATACACTAACATGTGAATGTTTGAGTCTGTTTATGTTGCTTTAACACACTGTAAATAAAGATGGACAACATGACAAAAAAGTGAATCCAGTAGCCAAGTATTGTGATCGCCACCTAGTGGCTGGCTCCAGTATAGGTCATAAATACTGCCTTCTAATTAAGTCATTGTACATGTCAAATACATATTTCTGATAGTTTTTGCCATTTATTTGTAGTTTTAATCACACTGATGAATGTCCAAGGGCAGTTTGGTTTTGATTCATTATTTGATGCTATAAAAACAAGATGAAACAACAGACAGCAGAGACTGACCTCCATCCCACGATCGCTAATGATGCTAGCTCCAAATGTGCAAGGTGGCTGCGTTTGTATCTGGGATATTTCAGCTTCATTTCTGGATAGTGGTCAATCTTAATATACAGTCTATGGGCTGTTACACTTTGTGTACTTGTTCTGAAAGGCTCAGAATGAATATTACAAATAATAATCTTGTGAGTTGTAGTATGTATCAGTCTAATTTACTGCACTGCATTAATGTACTGTATAAATACTGTGTGCATAGAGAGACATCAGTACTGTATAGAAAACTGAGTATTCCTGCCTCAGAGTAAAGAAATGGACCCAAACGTCAGTGTCTTCTGCCACCTGCTGGTGAGAAACATGAACCTACAGTGTGGTCCAAAGGTCTGACACAACTTTCCCATTAGGTCTCCCGCTAACTATACATTGCTTTCAGCACTCCTCCGGTCTACTGACTGTGGAGTAATCCCGTCATAGCACAGTTGTAATGAAAGAGATGGGAAAACAAGAGTTTTCATTATGTTCAGCCTCAAGTAATATCAAAAGTGGGATCAAAATTCCTTGATCTGCCCCCGATACACAGTCATACTAAAATGTAATGGTTCCTTCATAGGATCACGTTCCAGTAGTTTTTGCGTAATTCTGCTAAATATCAAAGCAAACAAATGCAGACAATAACATAATCTAAAATAACATAGAGTTTAGACTAATACTTATATAGCGTTATTACAAATAGACCTAAATGAATCCTCTACTGTACATTACTAACTCCTTGTTTGTCACTCGCAGGTTTGAGCTGATGAGGATGTGCTGGCAGTATAACCCCAAGATGCGTCCGTCCTTCCTGGAGATCATCAGCAGCATCAAAGATGAACTGGATTCTCCCTTCAGGGAAATGAGTTTCTTCTACAGTGAGGAGAACAAGCCGCCTGACACCGAGGAGCTGGACATGGAGGTCGAAAACATGGAGAACATTCCACTGGACCCTGCATCCACCAGGCAGCCCTCTGCTGTCGCCGCCCCCTCGTCGGGGTGCACGGGAGGAACGCCGCCCCCCTCGGCGCAGCAGTTATCCCCCATGCAAGGCCCGAGTACTCCTTTACTGGGACCTGTGTCTCCCTCCTCCCCGGGCCCGGTTGCCTCAGCCTTGGCGTCTCCGGGCCAAGCTTTGGACAAGCACTCAGGACATGTCTCGGCCAACGGGCCTGTGGTGGTGCTGCGGCCCAACTTTGATGAGATGCAACCTTATGCACACATGAACGGGGGCAGAAAGAACGAACGGGCATTACCACTGCCCCAGTCGTCGGCCTGCTGATATCAGACCAGTCCCTCATTCTCCTCTTACACAGGGTAACACAAACCTCTCCTCCATCTCTTAAGGAGGGATGGGTGAGGTAAGAAATGACTTGCTTTTCTACTGTGTGCCAGTAGATGGTCTCTCCACTCCTTTAAGGTCAAACTCAAAATTGTAAAAACTGAAAGATAACAGAAACCTGCTAAAGCATTTGGAGTTTGGCGGCTCAGACTCGACACTGGGGATCTCCTTCCTGTGTTTCAGTCATCGAGTCCTTCAAGAAGGAAAACAAACACAGGCACTGTCCTGATTTACAGACATGAACATTGAGAAAATAATTTTTAACATATCTGCCAGCAAATCAGAAGAGCACTTTTTTCCCTGATGATATCAGAGAGGATGTTGTGGATATCTGAGTGTGTATTTATACAAACACGTGATTCTCTCTATAATATGTTCTGAAAGTGACTTTCCATCAAATATGACTTTGTGGTCATGAGCCGGTCTGCTCATGTCCTGTGAGGATGCCTCAATTAGAAAGTTTGGACTAAGATAATTGTTTTGTTTCCTGTTGATATTTCTGTGGGTGTGAATCCCGTCAGGAGTGGGTCACAATAGCGGAGGAGGGACCTATTGTGTATCTGCCGAACTGTTGCCAAAATCTTTTCCTCTCCTATTTCATACAGGCCTCCCTTCTTGATTAAGGCTGTGATTCAGAGTTGAGATTCGCATTTCGCGGAAATGTTACCAAACTAGTTTGGAGGTGTTCAGACATCATGCTTATCTTCAGCATTCATTGCACCAGAGGCTGTTAACTGTGTGCACCTGTGTGTGTGTGTGTGTGTGTGTGTGTGTGAGTGTGAGTGAGTGAGAGTGAGAGAGAGAGAGAGAGAGAGTGTATGTGTGTGTGTGTGTCTCAGAATGCAGCATCTGCACTGGGGGTGGAATAAACCTAGAAAAGCTTGTGAAAAGAAACACAAGAGTAAATAATTTTTTACCTACATTATCTTCCCAAATCCATTTAGATCAGAGAAAATACTTTCATCACTTTCATATTGTGAGCGTCTGAGAGAAGAATCTTGTGATTCCAGTCAGTCAACTCTGAATCACAGCCTGCGTCTGTCTTTGTTTTATCAAGGCATCAAAAGTCCCGCACTGCAAAAAACAACCTAACTCCACAATCGAGGGACGCGACTCTGCCTCCGCTCCCATTTACTCAAAACTTTATCTGACTTTTGTAAGTGTGCGTTTCACATGGAGGATGAAACTGCTGCTCAGATGAAACGGCACCAAATGACACCACGACAAATGGAGTCGAATGAAATGAGAGGGCGTTGGATTGGTGAAGTAGCCTAGAGACGACTTTTAAACCACAGCAGGTCTCTTTTAGAATAGTCCTTAGTTTCTCTACATTTCAAAACACATATAAAAGGTCTTACAGTTGCATTTAAACTGCAGGATCGTTTTTATACACATCATTGGTTTTTGTCACTTTTTTAAAAAACCTTTTTACGGTTCAAAATGTTTTGCCTCTATTGTTGTACAGAACAAAGCTGCTATTTAATTCTTTATTTCTTCTTTTTGGATGTTCTATATAAAGGAATCCTTCAGGTTTGGTATTTTATGGTCTCCACTACAGTCCATTTCTTATATCTTTAAAAAATAATAAAAGTTAAACTACAAAAAATAAAACGATTTAGACAAAATAAAAAATGTTGCTCCTGTTACCCCAAAAGTTTTTTTTCTGTAACACTACATTATGTTCATTGCCTTTTATTTTTTATGAAATGTTTCCTCTGTATTTGTTTTGTGGATGTCAATATTATTATTATTATTATTAATATTATTATTATTAATATTATTTTGGAATGGACACCTTAGCTCGATGTGTGAGCGTGTACTTTCTGCACACTTTTTTGTACTTGTTGTCTAGCACTGCGCCTAGTGTCGCCCTCTAGGTGCGTCTCAATCTCAGGTCAAGTAAAGGCTTTGCTTTCTCCACACATTCTCATGATCGTCCTCTACATGTCTCCCCCCGTACCTCCTCACCCACCCTGTGGTCATCTTGTTGTGTCGAGTCCAATAGCGCCCCCTATCCTTCCCTTTGGCCCCTCAGTGACCTCTACAACAAACTGTACCTGCCCCCCCTCTGTGCCTCCTTTTGAAGTCAGGATGAGTTCCAGTATACTTTTGTACTAGATCTGGTATTTTTAACCCATCCATTTTCTTGCCTCTTCTCAAAAACCTATAGGGCTAATTTGGGTTGTCTTGTTTGCCTTAATTACGCCAACCATCTTTCCACCATTCATAAAATCAGTTTCCTCCTCCCTCACTTTTTTATTTTTATCATTATTACTCCAACAAGCGCAATACGACGACGCCACTTCTGTCTTCAAAGCGAGAACAGGTCTTATTTTGTTTGTCTTTATAAAGAATCACTGCTCCTGAAAGCCAAATAAAAGAATGGGTTCAAGTACAGGGAAGGGAACACATTTCAATGTCATGAATGGAAAAAAGGTCTTAAAACAGAGGCTGAAAAAGTCAAAAGCGTTTTTGAAGGGATCTCTCCTCCTTGTTGGAAATGTTGCCTGGTGATTTTTCTCTCTCCCCCTCTTTCTTTTTGAAGTTTCTGTAGGAGTGTTATTTATTTATTTTCCTTTTCCTTTTTTTGTGATATCAGTTTGAATCACTGTATAAATATCCTATGATTCAGTATAAAGTTTTTTGTATGTATTTTCTTTTGTGTCATGACTGGGGGACTTTAAAAAACGTTTTTCTCCTTCAAATATATATATGTATATATATTTATATATATATATACATATAAATATATATACATATATATCTCTACCTCACTCTTTTTAATGAATCTTTGGAAAGAAAAACAAGTACATCTCACTCTGTGTCATTAGTCTATAAACAAACTTGGATGAAACCCACAGGGATTCTAGATAAACCTCACAAAGCCAACATAGGACGGGAGATGGAATTTAAGCGCTGGAAGATCAGCCCGACTTTCCCAGGGGTTTGCGTCTATGTACATCTATACCTTTGAGCAAACAAAGGAAAAGACTCATTCAATAAGTTAATCTGTTGAGTATTTATTTGAGAAAATATGCTACAAAAATAAGTCAACGTACACTATAATTTGTGTATCGTATTCAGCGTAAGAGGCCGAGCCCAGACATTCCATCCCCACTGATTCCAGATATCATTGTCACAACTCGAATCCTCAAAAGACAAAACCCTTTTTTAAATCATCTAAAACTGCTCATAAAGAAGTCCGAACAGTCAAAGTGAGGAATATTTAATAAAGGGAAAAAGCGTTTGCTGTTCACCTGCAGCCTGTGACCACACAACACATTTCATCAGTTTCAGTGAAGTTTATTCCAAACATCCAGATCACGCTCTAAAATAATAAGATTCAGTCGTGTGTTAGGATCTGTAGCGTGAATGTAAGAAAAGATATGTCACTATACAAACACTTTAAAGAGACGGGAGCGACGCCACCTACCACGTGTTTCTACTTTCAGTCGGTGTTGGAATCAAAGCGGCAGAAGAAACTTTGATCTCGTCACTAAGATTATTAAACCAATCATTTTGGTTTATTTCTTCATGTCTCGGTGAACGCCGTCATCTCCCCTGTTCCACGTCTACCTGCTGAATGTCATGACGTTCTAGACTTACCTAAACACACCTTTGTTCCTGGCCTGTTGTACTGCTACTAACTTACAGTTAATGCTGCTGGTTCAAACAGTCACCTCAGTGGATCTTATACCGTCGAGCTTTAACATCTCAAAGCTTCACGTAAAAAACCTCAGTTCTACTTTTGAAGAGGGTGGATCAATGTTTGAACATTGTCTCAGTGCAAGGAGATGGTGACATTTGGAAATTAAAAGCAATAAAAAAAAAAAAATTATTTAATGTGAAATGTAGGTGCTACATCTAAGTTCTCCTTAAGAATTGAATCTGTGTGATTTTAAGGAATAATGATCGAAGTGAACAATCCTCGGGTTAAAAAAAACAGCTGCTTTACACGACATTGGTACAAAAACAAAATCACCAGACAAGCAAACATCCTGTGTAGTTACTGAACATATCTGTGCATTTATTAAGTTTCTGTTCTTTCAGTTTGGATGTACATTATGCGATGGGTAAAATAAGAATACTTCTTATATATTTCCTCTTTTTCAATTGTGAGAGTAGACATTACAGGGAACATGTGAGGTGAATTACTGGCTAGATCACAAACTATACAGCGTTTAAAATAAAACACGAGGACGAAGAATAGGACGGGGATGTCGCATAGATTGCGGGTAGACAAGGTAAACAACATGAGTAGAAAATAAAAGAAACATGGAAGGCCTAAGATAACAGCTTCTCACTGTAGTCGCTTGTTTGCAGATTTCCAGTGTAAATATAAACACTAGCTAGAAAACATCTATCATTTCAATTCTTCAGACTGTTCTTCATGCAAACCTCATGTTTATGGAGGATGCGTCAATGCATTTTTAAAAACTGCAATAATAAGTTTGAGGTTTAACATTCTCATGCCTCTCTTTTTATGATTTGCATTCCTTCTGAGGGGGCCTTGGTTCACTAATATTATTTTATTATAATGATTTTTCACAAAAAGAAAAATCTGTGTGTTCATTACCTGATTGGGGAAATAATCACAAAAAAAAAAACCTTCACTAGACTCTTCTGTCTTCTTTCAAACTCTGTATCTGAGGCCTCAAAAAGTTTTTCACACTTATAGCTGAGATGGTATATTTTTCTGACGTGCCGTCTCCAAATGTGTATCTGAGAACTTCTTGTATTTTCTTTTTTTCTCGCTGAAATTTTGAATAAATAAATGAATGAGAACTATGAGTGCCTGTTCTATTACCTCCACCATGGAGGTTATGTTTGTCCATAGGTTATGTCTGTTTGTTGCTTTTTAAGCACAATAATAGCACTATATAATTATATATTTCAAAGTTTTCAAATTCCCAAAAATTACTGGACGGATTTCCACGACACTTGGTGGAGGGATGCCATATGGGTCAGGGAAGAACACGTTAAACATTTAGTTGTGGATCCAGGATATTTTTTTACTTTCTTTAGCATTGAGGGATAAGGTGCTGGACCTTGATCAGTAAGATCAGGCAGGTTTATGGGACTGATCTGGTTCAGTGAGTTAAGATGTGGTTTTAGAAGTGGGCTGTTGGGCCTCGGCGGAGGTAAACATTCTCCTGAGTGCCACAGTTTCCTCTGTTTTTTATTCAGCAACGTGGTTTCTGTTTGATGTTGAATATCTGTACTAGAAGTTAAACTGTGCTTTAGCGTGCCTGCTGCAGAATCAGCCATCATCATCCGTTCATACTGTTAGTGACGGGTCGACCAGCTGACCGAGCATGGTCTGTATGACAGTCTGCAGCAGAGGGACCAGAGTGTCGGCTGAGGCCAGGCCGCCAGATGTGGGTAAATGGATGAGGGCTGCCCTCCCCTGCCCGTGGTCCAATGAGCAGTAATATGCAAAATCACACAGGTACCTGAAAATAAGAAGTAAAGCATGACCTCAAGAGGTTGGAGTATCAGTCACACTGCGGACACAGAGTCCTACCGGCCAGCATCTCCAGAGTATATGACATCCATCCCTGCTTTCTTGAACTGTTTGGAAACGGCTCTCATGTTAATGACTGAGCAGAGTCTCTCTGGACCTTTGTCCGTGCAGCAGTGACCCTCAGGACAGAGTCCACACACGTCTTTGTCTCTGTAGCCACTGTTGTTCCCTGTTTGCTCCAACATGACGACACTGGAACCTCTAGCTATGCCCAGATGTACCGCGAACTGGAACACACACAAACACAAAGGGTAAAGTCAGATATTCATTCCAACAGCAGAGTACTTATGGCCTTCAACAAATCTGGACCAGGGCTGGAGATACCACTGAGGTTTTTGGAGAATACTGTGATGTGAGCTGGAGTTCGGATTGATAGTTAATGAACTAATGAAGGTTAGGTGTGACTGATTGGCAGCCGGTGGCGACCCTGCGGTTCCAGAGGGGACAGAGCCCTCTGTGGGAGAGGCCGCGTGGGGAGCCTGCTGTTGGGCTGATAGCTGCGCTCGATCCTCGACCTCTGGCGACGAAGACAGCCCGGATCGGAGGGAGGAGGTGTGCAGCCTCCTTTAGATGCAGCTCTTCATGTCAGCTGATGTCTCCAGCTCATCCCATGCGCGCTGCTGCGCCGCCGGAACACCGGACTGAGCCATGGATCCCCGGGGAGTTGGACGGTAACTCAAGCTCGGACCCCGGGGGGAGAGGGGGTCTCGCCAACCCCGCAAGTATTTTAATAAACACTATTTGCGTATAGGCACATTAGTGATCCGGGAGGATGCCGTGACCTCACTGAGGGATAGCTTGATGGGTTAAGTAGTTCACTTCCTGGTCGCTGTTTGTGTGATACAAAGATTTAAATTATATATATTTTGTGTGTTAAATGTGAGTTCAGACATTTTTCCCACAACACGCCTATAGTAGCCTATTCGACCACCTACCCCCCAATTACTACAACATAAAATGACTTTAACATGTGAAGTAAATAACAAAATACTCTCCAGGCCACAGATCTTGAGTTGTAAACTGTATCTTTACCTTTGGTTTAAGAGTTTTCCAAATCTCAGCGATGATTTGCTGAGTCTTCACATAACTCACAGGAAGCTCCTTAATGTAAACATCCACCTGCTCTCCCAGTCCAACCGACTCCAACCCCTGGAGAGGAAATACTGTTTACAATCATATTACATTATAGAAACTAATAACTGTGGAGCCCCTCTGGTGACGTTTGGGTAAAAAACGAAACGCGTAAAGTCACAGTCCCTCTCCCTGCGCACTGGGCACTGAACTGGGCTTTGAACGATGGATATTGGCGCAAATAAGCCGCAATGTTTTTTTTATTGCAAACGTTTCCACCCCAGTGTAACTTCCGACATGTTAAACTACAGCTTGTTATAGAGGCTGCATCATGTGATTAAGTGAAACGTCTGATCTCATCCAAGAGGCTTCTCCTGTCCAGTTCACCAGCTCTTCTACGGATTCATTACATGCAGTAGTTTCTCTCCCCAGACGTCACCAGAGGGTCTGCGTAAATAAAATGATCACACTTCACCTGGGCTGCTCTCCAGCTGGGGTTCACCAGGAACTGTCTGAAAGGTCCAAACCCTTGAAGGTAGATCCTCAATCTCACTTTAGAATGAAAACAGATTATTCATGAACAAACCTCTGCTTCCTCACCTGTTACCACCACCGTTTCTCTTCCGGTCATTCTCCACGTGTTCGTGTCTGTAAACACAAACAGTTGTTGCGCATTTCACAATAAAAGACACCCGAGCTCCTGCAACTCACCTTTTGTCCGCTTGAAGGCGCTGTTCCCAGTCTAATAAGTGCGGATGGTCAGTGTGGAAGTGATGCATTCAGGGGCTTACGGTAAGTTAGTAAATGTAATTTCTCATTTCGTTTTTACTATTTATATA